AAATTAACTTAACTTAAACTTGTTAACTCGTTTATGTCATGGCTTAAGTATTATACATATTAAAATATTCAAAATGTAATGATTTATTAAATTTTTTAAACGATAAATTAACATAAAGAAAACACCCTGTCCCATCACGGTAGCTATCACTATCTCAACTCCTATCCTACGCCTAAAATTGTTATATATTTAAATATTTTTATAGTTAGTTTTTATAAGGTAAAAAAAAAATTTTATTCATTAAGGAGTACAGTACCTACCTACAGAAAATAAAGAGGGACGTTCACATTTATATATCAATTTATTTGTGAAAATAGTATGGAATTCGGCTTGTAGATATTAATATAATAATAATATGTACTATATATTATTCTACCGTAGCTGATCGACTTTAATAAGTGTAAATAAGTGTAATGTGTTAAATAAATTATATTTAAATATTTATAATTTATGTCTTATATCACAATCGCGCTTAATCTTAATGTAGTACGAGGAATCAAAAATTATAGATTCTGCACTTCTACATGGCCCGCGTCTCCAAAAGTTCTCCAACACATTACAATTTACTGTAGTATGACTTTACAAAAATCACCTATATATTGTGTAAATCCGTTCACAATACACTTATTATATTCGGACTGAATTCGGTTAATACTGCAACTATGAAAAAAAATTTTGGGATAATAGCAAGATAATGATAATCTCAGTTCTCCATCATAAAATCTATACTATCTATATAGATTGCCGTGGTATTCAAAGAATATAATTATACACAGTGGGCTTAAGAAAGTTGAAAAATCTGTATATTATATAATATAAGTACATAATACGTAATTATAAATATCTTACATTTTGTCACAACTCACAGATATTGTGTTGGTACCCTATTGGCTAAGTTTGAGACTTGAATTTAAGTGGAATCGGTGATTTTCTGTCTTTGTCCAACACACGTGGAATATATAGGAATTTAGACATGTATTCATTAGAACCTACCGATTTATTTTGAAACAATAAGAATTCAAAAAACAGATTTGAATTTGTCGTCAAGTCTACTTGAGATCGATTTTCCCTGATTTTAACTTCTCCAAAAATGTAAGTATTCAATTTCCATTTTTGGGATTTTAGGGGTTAAAATCAAAAATGTGGAAAGTCCATCTCAACTCTCAAGTATAGACATGACGACAAATTCAAATCTGTTTTTAGAATTCTTACCACATTACTAGATCAAACAGTATGTTGGATGAAAACACGATTGAACTTTACCTAGGAATAGTAATGATTAGGATGCGGATTTATATGTACATACATATTTGTGATGAGTGATGGCAATCGAACGATTCTTTTATAGAAATACGTTTCAGGACCATCTGAATGCTTTAAGCTATGGTTGATATAAAATATTTTTACATATTATTCGAGCTTACTCACATATTTGAACATAATTACTTTTATTACATAAGTTTTTAAATATTCCCCTATATTGAAAAAATAACCGTTGTCTCCTTTAAATCCGGTTAAAAATATACTGCTCCAGTCGTACGTTGCTCGACTATTTAATCTATGCACCACAAGCTTGTTATATATATACTGCAAACGTTCACAATATACCTACAATTTTTCCGTGATTTCAGTCCTGGTGAATTATAAGCTTTCAAATTTACACCTATAAGTTCTGTAGACGTGGAAAGGTCGCTACAAGAACGTATTGAGCCCAAATCGACGTCGATTTACTTTAGAAAACTTAAAAAAGAACATGGTATTGTAGTGCAAAAGGCTCTCGTTATGGGTCGTTAAATCTTCGGAAGTCTTCCACCCCTATGGTCCGAACCGTGCACTAACATTTTTAAAAATTCTCCGAGATATGTAAATTGTCAATATGTGTTATTTATCGACAATGACCGTGTACACGCACATTACACACACTACACATACGTATATTATAATATTATACACATTGCACATAGCCGGGCGTGTCTGTCCGATAAATGGCACTCCGTATGGCTGATACGATTATCATTATTATTATATTAGGTTTATAATATAATATCATATTATTATTATTATTATATTATGTGCTTTCGACGTTCCAGCGGGATTCGTCGACGACAAGAATCAAACACCATTAGGCATTTCGCTATTTCAGGTATTTGAATAATTTAAACGTGTCGTATATTGCAGCATATATATAATATGCAATATGCATAATATTATAATAATGTTGTACGCGTATATATAATATTATAATATATTATAACGCGACGGCGACGATGTCGCGAACACCGCACTGGTCGGTCGGGAAATAGCTGGTGGGGGAGGAAGCTTTATCGGGTGTGTGCAGTGGTCTCAAAATATCAATACAATATAGTTAGGATGATTATGAGTTATGATGTTGTTACATTATAGTATTATAATATTATACTTTTATAATAATTATTATATTATACTCATTGTATTTTAAATACATATTTATGTGGATAATAATATATAATATATTAATATGTATATAGGTAGGTACCTACATCATATTATTTTATAATATAGTTCTTATGTATGCAGGACTTAGATACATATTAAAATATTATTATATTGTGCAGCGAAAACGGAGAAGTTTCGATGCACTAAAAAGTTTTGTAATGCATTCGAGTATTGTGCATTCTTATTCCTAGGACGGGTGTTCATGCACTACCACCATCGTCATACCAGATCAGGATTAATTAACAACACAGGTCGGTGTATAAACTAACGAAAAGTTTATTTCTTTAACAAATCTGACAATTTATGTACAGAAAAAAAATAAAAATAAATAAATAAATATATTTATATAGGTATACATTATACATTATATAATAATAATATTAAATAATAATACATTAAAATATATTGTACACAAACATGAGTGAATTATGGTAATCCTAACATTAAATGGTATTAACAGTAAATATAAATAAAGATATAAATACTTAAGAATACATTAAAACTAGATGATTTAGCCAATCAAACACAGACCACAATAGTTATAATAGTATGCCTGTGTAATTTTAGTTTAGCTAAATAACCTATAAATATATTAAGAAATAAAAGGACAATTATTATAACTGTCGAGCTATAATACTTTAATAAACAGAGGCTATTCAAAAAAAAAAAAAAAAGACAATATAAAATAAATGTTGACGATCTTAGCGATTTTCAGTCAACCACAATGTCATGTACGTATCATGCACATGCGGTGAGTTTGTGTTTATAGTAGTATACAATATGTATACAGACTTTTAAAGTATATAATATATTTTGTTAGGTAGGTAATCATATCCCATTTGCCATCAAATCACTCATGAACCATAGTATAAAATATGTTCATGTCTTTATTTTTAACATTGATTTTATAATAAAATCAATGCTGTAGCCTGCAACTAAACAAATAATCTTAACATCCTATATGTTATATAATAGGGTTGCTATAACTAAACAAATAATTCATAACAGCCCATATAACTTAAATGCCGGTCAAGAGCGAGAACCAGTGGCGACGAAACATTTGAATGTTCTACTAAAACCGTGATTTTGTGTAAGTAACTTTATTCAATTCCTACATAATCAACTTTAGAGGGGTTTCAGAAGAAAAATGCAATGGATATTGCAATGATTAGGTTCATTTTATGCCTTTGCCCTATATCAGCACCTCAGCAGAGCTGCCGAGTACGAATTACTTTACAATGACAAATTTTCTTTTGGGACTATTCAGATAGGTAGGAAAGTTTTTCTAAAAGTTAATTTTTGACGTGAGTAATATCGTAAGCTATAATATAAACATTTGAAGAGATGGTGAGAAGAACTAGAAACTTTCTGATTGAACGCTAAAGATTGAAAACACTGTGTCAAAAAATATAACATAAGTACTGAAAAATGTCAACGCGTCATTATAGTTGGTGGTAAAACGTACAGAGGTTTTCAAAACCTTAGGATTTCAAAGGTCTTACAAAAATAAACTACACTTCGTGGTGTATACCTATACTCAAAGTATTCAATGTTTGTCTTGCCACTGGTCTACCCTGAGACCCGCAAAACGAGTTTCACTCTCATACTGATCTACAGTAATAAAAAATATCTTTCAAAAAATAATAACAGATTAGCTTTCGTACACGGGTTGCTCTCACTCCCGTATTGGCAATCCCATGAACTAGCCACTGTACCAAATATAATTAACATAATATTTATGTTACAAATTGCAATAATGCTAAACTTAGGATTCAAGCAATATATATATATAATATAGAATTCGCATTTTAACTATATTATTATACATATGTATCATTATTAATACTAAAAATATAAATCATTGATAAGTTGTTCGGTTAAGACAATGCGTGTACAATAATATCATAATCCTGCGATTTTAAAAACGAAAAGGAAATACAAACAACAACAATAACAATATAGTAATAATGTATATAGTCTATAGCAATGAAAAAAATCGATAAAAAAAAGATTATTATAATATATTATAATAATAAATAAATGACTATAATTGTATTGTTCTTATTAAATGTCTATTGAATATTTTAAAAATGATTTCCTCCGCTTGTATTATACGAACGTACCGAACATAGACTTACATAGTAAAATACTAAAAAAAATTACTTAAAATTACACACATATAAATATATGTATAAACTCAAATCTGACACTGTCTTTAGTGGTTTTCTTTAATATTTACATTTATAAACGTCAAGACGTTAACATATAAAATATATATGTATTCAAAATGATATATACACATTATATATATAAGATATATATGTATATATATATATCTTATATTATAATGAATTTGTCAGAAAATTAGGGAGTTACAGTGTAAAGGTCTCCTGTTCTTTTAAAAATGTTTAGTTTGATTCTGAGAGATACGGATAGATAAACTCCTCGTCCTTTTGTAACATTTTTTCTTCCGTGTTTTGAATAAGATGTGGACGACGTGCATTTTTAGGTTTTTTCTTTTTGGCTTACAACTGCCACAATGAGTTCCTGGGGTTAATACCTAAAAATAAAAATAAAAATACATTATTCATCAATTTCGATATTTTTTCAGTACTTTTTGAAATCTTGGTCTATTCTATGTGTATTGTGTAATATAATATACTACATACATATTTGTCATATATATGTTATATAATATATTGTATTACTATAAACATAGTATGGGGTACGAGTCATGGGTATAAGTCAGAAGCCTGTAGCCGTTATGTTAAGATGTTACTGATGTTAGGTAGGTATATGTTGAAGTCACCGGGGGTCTAATGTGTTCCTTCTGCAGTTATTGTTACATTGTAATTTATAAGATTTATATTATGTAAATAATCGAAAACTATAATAAACTGGAATTAAATATTCGATAGATACCCCACGGGGTAGGTAAATCACGAATCCAACGGAAATCAAAAATCAAAATGAATAGGTTTTTGTATTTTGTTTGAAATTTTAATTAATATTAAGCTATGTGCACGTTCCAGTGAAAACACTATGACACATTTCGTTTTATTGTTTCTATTTTGAAAATCAAGAGCAAATATAAGAAGCGTTTTCATTTTTTTTTTTTTTCAAAAACTATAAAATGGAGTGATAATAATTTTGTTTTCGAAAATCCACAACCGCTCAGAAAAGGACCTATCATCGTAAAACCAATTTGTCTTCGAGCCAGTTCTTTGAATTTAGGTATTAAATCACTTAATCACCACACAACACACACGACACACGCACACCGCCCACGAGTTATTACTTAGTATCATGGTACACATATTATTACGATATTGTTATTGTGTTATTGTCGTCAATACAGGCGCGACGTCAGGGTTTATAATATCAGTTATCTTTCCGTTCTTGAACAACAACATTGTTATTGTCAATATACAATATATGAAAAGATGGAAAATCGGATACGAAATAACAAAGGTTTAAAGACACAAGCAGCAGCGGCGTCGGTAAAAGAGGAGATTAACACACCAACTTAAACAGCTTTTATTTATTTATTGTTTTTTTTTTGTTTGCGCGGCTATAATAATTGTTACCGAAATTTACGGATACCCAACTATACTATAAAAACGACCACTCTCGCCCCGACATCCCTTTCTGCAGCGTCTTTGCAGGACGTGTGCCGTACCGCCACCGCCGCCAAAGGACAAACGACGCCGCGCCCCGTCCGCACACACACGATCCCTTAAATTTATAGAGTAATAAAACTGGGGTGAAAAAATAAAACGTATCCCCGAGTCCATTAAAAGAGCCGCGGTAAATGATGAGAACAAGCGACCACCCCACTGGACACCGAAGGTATACACGTGGCTAGTGACATGGGTATCATCATTATTATGATTATTATTATTATTATTATTATGCGGGACGCGGCTCGAGAGTTATTATTTTTCGACGAATTGCATTTGACGGTTTTCGCACGACACGTTTTTGAAATATTATCGAATTAAATAACGATAATCGCGAAACCACGAAAATCGATTCGGCCTTTTTTTTTAAATCGAAAAACGTGCGAAAAAAAGGTCGTCGAAACCGTGAAAAAAAAAGAAAAGTTTTTCCCTCTTTAAAACCCCACAGTGCTCCGCCGCCGACGACTCGATCGTCGTGTTTGCGCGCGAGGTGTGTTTACTCAACGGCATAGTAATATTTTATATTGTTATTATTATTATTATAAAGTGTGTCGCGGAGATGAGAAAAAGTCGACGAAATCACGTATGTTGGACGAGTGGCACGCACGGGCCCGGCCTTTTATAGACCGATAATAATAATAATAGACGGTAGGTAAACATCGAGGTGGCGGAGGATCGGGCGGGGAATAAAAAATTGCAATAATAACACTGCACGTAAACGTGGGACGTATGTATAAGAGAAACGTATGAAAATATTTTTTTCGCGCGCGTTTATCAAATGCTGTTCAAGAGAGAGAGAGAGAGAGAGAGAGAGCGAGTCTTTTAATGTATACGATGATCGATGTGCGTGTGGTATGCGCGGTTACTGCACCTATATAAAAAAAAAAATATATATCTATATATATAATCGATCGTGTTTGCGGGGGTGAAAAAAAGCGACAAAACGTAAGCCCTAAAAAAATACGAGCGCCACACACACACACACACATAACGGGTGTATATTATGGCGAAAAACGTCGCTATTGCTGCCGCTGCTCAGAATGTGATTTATCGGAATTGGCGTCGTAAAACGAAACACGTCGCAGTCTCTGGCGAGTGTGGGTTACAGGGTTAACACTGTACTACGTTATTGTTATTAGAACGTTATTATTGTCTAGTGAGGAGGATTTCTCGGGGACTGAGCAAAGTGTCTCGCCTTGTGTAGGATGTACGATGTCGTCGGTGCACCTGGTATTATACGGCTTGTACAGGTTTCTGTAAGAATTGTGCCTCAGTATTTTCGAGCTCGGTTGTGTAGTGGTGGTGGTGTTTGTGACCATGGTTGTGGTTAATGACGGTTTGCAATCCTTACACTTATTTCTCGAGTGCGTGGACAGGTCCAATGCCTGCGGCTCCATCAGAGTGGCAGTCACCATGGTGTTGATGAAACTGCTGCAACACAAAACATAAACTGAAATCGTTATAATCGCCGTACAGCAAATCAAAATAATAATATTATCATATTTACGGACTGCATCGACTAAACCTAATCGCTAACCGTTAGTGGTGCGACCAACTAAATTATTGTTATCAATGTTCGAGGTCCGATCGCGAGAGTATGAGCACGCAAAAACGTGTCGATCGTAAAACCGACAACGTTTAAGCGTTTTCAGCGAATTTTCGAAAAAAAATTTCAGCTTTTTCATGTGCCGCACATTATTACAATCATATTGCCGATATCATTTTATGGATCGTACACGACGATGTACAAGTACGCTGCAGTGAGCACGTCGCCGACGCGTCGTCCTCGTTATCGGGTGATTATAGTCATAGTGTAATGTAATATATGATTGTATTATTATTATTGTTGTGTATCACGAGTGGCCCCCACCCAGTCCCCCCAGACCGACGCGTCTGACCTCGCAGTCCGAAAAAAAAATTTACGATAACGATACCGTCGCGTCGCGTCGTCGTCGTCGTCGAGTCTCGATAAAGAAAAAAGAAATCCGATGGTAAAAAAAAAAAATATATAATAAAACCCGATCGCCGTAACCCGTCGTCGCCGTCTACTTAATATCGTGTGATGTCGTGTGTACGAATTACGAGTGCAAACTCGGTTTTATCGGACCGCGTCAAATATAATAATAACGGCTGCGAGATAAGACTACACCTATATTATATGCGTATTGCTATAATACCGGTGTACGATATAAAATAATAATAATAATGTTTTACACAATAGATCGATCGACCCGAAAACGAAAATCTCGACCGCCGATCTCGTGTGTCGGCGACGGCGACTGCGACGGTCATTGGATTTTATTATTATTATTATATTATTATGCGCCGCGGCTCGGCACGACGACCGCGACGGCGACGCAGTGCCCCTCCGGGCACTCCTCTACTCGCCGCCCTGGTGCCGCCGCTGCTCCTCCGCGCGCCAATTTCCGAAGCGACGAGACGGCCGCCACCGCCGCCGCGCCGCTCCCGCAAACTCGTCGCCGGCGAGGACGACGTCACGCAATTATCGCACGAGACTCGCGGTTCGTCGTGGTCCGTATTAGTTTTTTGTCCGTTTCTTTTTTCGTCGTATTATTTTATTTTATTTTATTTATATTTATGTCGTTGTTTCATTTCATTTTTATCACGCCGTTACCTATGGTACACGGCGGCCACGCGCGATATATACAAAGCAAACGCGCTCAGCGAAATTACCTCGACTTGTTGTAGGAATTTTCCGCAGTGAAATTCGGAGTCAAATAGTTGACTGAACTTGGTAGCGGGGGCGCCTGCAACAGAAACAAAAAAAAAACAACGGTTAAGTGACTGTGTCCAAAGTGTTCGCAGCGCAAAAATACGAAAAACGTATTATTGCATGTGTGCAATAACTAATAACTAATAGCGTAATGCTATATACGGTAGGCAGTTATACGAAGTGAGTGTGTGTGTGTGTGTGTGTGAAGGGGCGGGGATCGGGGAGGAGTGGAGGACGAAACCGAAAAAGTCGTCGTCGGTCATCATCAGTGCGGTGTGGTGCATGCAAAGCTGCTTGTGCGTGTGTCACGGTGTACACACAATTATAATATTATTATTATTATTATTATTATAACGAGATACTCGCGGGGCCGCGTTTCAGCGAGCGATAAATATTTGTTTTGCGCCGCGTACGACACGCGGCGCGCGCACGCATAGGTATGCGGCGCACAGCGATCGTTTGTTAAATAAAAAAAACATAAAAACCTCGCGATAATAATTATTACACGCGGCCCCGAGACTATATTATAATATATTATTATGGTCCTCGTCGTCGTTACTGCACACGTGTGTGTATGGGTGTGCGTGCGTATAAATAATGGTTTCGAGATAATACGGTTTAACGTCGCTGGTCGGGTACATACAGTAACGTTTTCCTTCTTTATATATTTTTTTCCTCCCGGTTATAAAACGAAATAAAGGCCAGATGAAAAAAGGAGGAAAACTTCGAAATGGTATATTGTGGGTGTGTGTGTGTTCGTATGTGTTTGTATGTGTCTGGGTGTGTGTGTGTGCGTGTGCCTGAGAGGCGCGTGAGTAATAATAACGTTGACCGTCGTCGTGTGCGGTGCGTTCGCGAGTATTTACACGTGTGTGTGTGTGTCCCTCGCACACGCTGTAATAACCTAAACGTGTATATAATATATATATATATATATATATATATATTATTGTATACATATGGCACGGCGGCGTCAAAGCGTATATATAATAAATATATATATATATATTATGCTATATACACCCGAAAGAGTGTGTGATGTGGGAGTGTATGTATGGGTGTGTGTGTGTGTGTGTGCATGCGATCACATGTATATGACAACAATATATATATGCACACAGTGGGCGAGTTGTGGATAGGGTACGGGGTGGAAAAAAGGCGCGTACGAGTATTATTATACGGAAAAGTAAAAAGGTTTTTTTTCCTCACTCTATGGCTGCGCGTGGAGGGTTGTTAATATATATATATATATATAATATATACATACATAAAACTACGTATAAATCTAGTGAAACCGACGACGACAACGATATGCGCGTCGGTTGTAAAAATTTCCGAAAAAAAATGGTATATATTATTAGTTATTACACATATTATAATAATATATTATAATCTACCCCGAACACTGAAAATAAGACGGCCGGACGTGTATAATATATTGATGCGTTGAGTGTGTGACCACCACTGATGACGTGGTAAGGGGGAAGGGAAAGAACCCGCAGAGTCAAAAGACCTGCACCGACCCACCGGAACCGAGACGTGGATATGTGTACCGACACAAATCATATACAATATACGTTACACACACACACAATCCTACAAATTATATTTTGGTATTATATTATATTATTATTTTATTGTGTATTAATATTATTATATTATAAGTGACTCACCGGCAATGAGTTGGAGGTCAAGAAAGTGTTGATCTTGTTTTGGAATTCAATGGGGCTCAGCCTGAGATTCGGGTGATCGACGGCTGCTGCGGCTGCGGCGGCGGCCGCAACTGCTGCTGCGGCGGCGACGTTGTTGCTCTTGAGGCCGCCAAGTGGCGGCATATTGTGATGGAGCGGGTGATGGGCAAGCTGTGTCAAATGGTGTTGCAGTTGTTGCTGTTGCTGATTAAGGCTGAGACCACCATTTAAGCCGGCGACGCCATGGCCACCACCAAGTCCAGATGCGCCAAGACCAGCGCCAAGACCGGCACTGAGACTTGCGTTGAGACCGGCACTGAGACTTGCGTTGAGACCAGCACTGAGACTTGCGTTAAGACTTGCGCTGAGACTTGCGTTGAACCCGGCGTTGAGGCTGGCGCTGATGCTAGCGTTAAGACCAGCATTGAGACCAGAGTTGAGACCGGTACCCATCAAACCACCGCCCAGCAGACCACCACCAACATTGTTGTTGTTGTTCAAGGTCATGGTACTGTTGAGCTGTTGTTTTTTCAGCTTGAGCTTGTGATGGTGCTGTTGGTGGTGATGAAGTCTCTCGGGACTGCGGCGAACTGAATTGGAAACGCACGGATCTGGGCTGCTGAACCTTGACGAGCTTCCTTCCCGCTCATCTGTGTATGTCGATGAGTTGTTATCTGAGCCGTCGACAGAAAATGATTTAGAATTGTCGTCCGACTTATAACCATCCGATGACGTGGACGAAGACTTTGACTTCATCTCGTTGTATTTTGCCTCTGCCTTCATGACAATGTCCTTGTTCTTAAACCAGCCGCGGAACGTGGACTCGGCCACGTGTAGGCTCCTGGCCACTTCGGCCTTTGAACAACCAGTCATCTTGATGCGGACCAGCGCGTCCACCTTCTGGTCGATGGTGAACAGACGCTTTCCGTTGCTGTATGTAATGGGCGAGTCCTTCTTCAGACCCACCTCCATGACGAGTTCAGGGTGTTTTTATATTTTAAAAATGATACGTGATTTGTTTGCAAGCGGGCGCTAAATAGGCCGCTACTTCTTCCGCTACTCGTACTCCTGGGGTACGACGACGACTATATATACCGTCTGAAAAACGAAAAACAAAAATCGACGCACGACCGTATAATGTTTGTTCACAGAATATGTACACATAATACATAAACATAGTAATAATATGGGGAAAATAAATATCGCAGCGTCGCGTTACAACCCACGCCGGGTGAAAACGCGGGGGTCAGGGAAGAAAAAAGAGTTGCCTCTCCCGAGTACCCGGATGGGCTGGTGAGCAGGCGGGATAGTTGCAGGGGGTGCCCGCTGGGCGAAATGACCGAGGGCGGCGTCGTGTGAGTGGTAGGGGGGGGGATGCGTGGTGTGCGAGTTATCCCCAGTGGATAAGAGGATATTCGAAGTTGTGGCGGAGGGTAACGAGCGGGTGTGTGGGGTATACCCGGCCGGCAGCGAAGGAGGACAGGTAACGTGTGTGTGACGTGGCGGCGGACGGGTAGAAATATAACGACCCGGCGGCGGCGTAGGCGAGGGAGAAGATTCACCGCCGCCGCCGCTGTACGCGTGTGGTGCGTGTACGGGTTTTACGAGCGCGCGGAGTGCCCTCCGAAACGAGTTTCGGTTTAACCGCTGCTATCCACCGACGCCGCCGACCAATAACAATAACAAACGCGCGCGCGCACCAACAGAAATGTCACAGAACAATAATAATTACGGTATTTATGTTTTACGCGTTCCGAGAGTTCGGGGAAAAGCCCACGCATGACGCGAGACACCGTAGAAAGGTTTGCGTAAAATGACGAGAACGTATTCGCAATATTACATTATAATAATGTGATGAAAAGAATATTAATGCGATTTTATTTTACTAGGTACCGCCGACGCTTCTGCCGCTTCGCAAACAACGTTATATAAAACCGATTAAAAAATATGAAAAATAAAGAAAAACCGCGGACACGTAACGCGTATAATAAATATATACGACACGTCTTCGTCGTCCGTAACGAGGACGATGATGATGATGATGATGATGATGACGATGATGGTCGTCGTCGTCGTCGTCGTCGTTATTAAACGGTTTGAAAAAGCTGTCACCCGAACGATATTACGACGACGTGCGGTGGGCGGAGTGAGGGTTCAGGGTGTGGGTGTTGGTCGGGTGCGCAGTTCTGAACGGAGGGATGAATGAAATTAAGTGGTTAAACAATTTAAACGTCGTTTACGTTAACGGGCCTCCGCCGCCACGATCATTGTGCGTATAGTACTCTCGCCGCTAACCGAGTAATAATAATAATAATAATAATAATAAGTGACGGATAACAAATAATCCCGAATTCACCCCGCCAATGTCATTAATGTACACCGACGTGCCGAGAACTTCGATCAGACCGTAAAGTTTCGTTGGCGTTGCCCGTTTCCTGTTGTTGTTGTTGTTTTCGACGGTAAATTTTTTTTTTTAATTATAACGTGAGCGCTTTTTCCCGCAATCGGGTTTCGGAACAAGGAAAATACCGGAAAATTACGTCCGCGCAAAAGAGAGTGGCGAAGAGGGGTGGCACGCTGACGTAGGTGCACTCGTTGTTAAATTGGTTAAGTTATTTTGAGTGACCGTTTTTGAAACGCTCCTATACTATAGGTACGAGATATTGTTATATCGTTAGATAATAGTAATAATAATAATAATAATATTATTATTAACGGCGGGCAGCTCGTTGCTCGTAACGGAATACACGAGTGCATGCACAAAACAAACCCGTCATCATCGTCTACGCCGTCGTATATATTCACGCCCGAGAAACGACGTCTCTATATTTCATCGACGTGTGCTATTAAAATATCATTAATATTATTACGTAGTAGACGGTTTTTTTTTCTCGGCCGTCGCGCCGCATAAAAAATAATCGTAGTAATTATCGCTTTTCACTGAAATAGAGGTGGGGCCACTTGACAATAAAATAACACCGTCCGGAAATATAATTAATTATAATATTATTATGTGGAGCCGGCGTTCAAATAAATAGTACGTATGCCTACGTCGGGCTCCACCGACAAAACGGCCGGATCGTATAGAAACGGCCGTTTTAAATAATATTACGTTGTAGTAGTAATATCGATATCAAGCGTTTGTTGTTTATCGCCCGTGCATTATAATAATTCGTATACACTTATATGTACTACGTAAATTATAATAAAAACACAATATAATATAACATAATATTATATTATATTATTATAACGACAACGGCCACGCACGCAGTGTATATAATATGATAATGCGATACGTTTCGTTTTCACTTCAAAAGTCGGCTGCAAGGGGAAGGGATAAAAGCGTGTTAATAGGGCCGGTCGTCGCGTTTTCCCGCAGCTAAAAATATTACGATTATCGTTATTATCATTATTACCATCATTATCGTTATCATACTATTCCATTTTACACACCAACACACGATATGACATTTCATATAATATTATATTATTCGCGCCGTCCGTATTACGTTCGAATTTTTATGTTGGGATACGTAAAACCATGAACGGACGACGCGATTCGTGCTCACCATTATCTCTCGTCGACCGTCATTATCGCGAGTTCGGTATTTTAACGACGGACCGTCAAAACAGAGGAAACGGAAATAAAACGGGAAAAAAAATATAAATTTAAAGAGAATAAGACGGGAAATTCGTAAACGCGTCCGAACAACGTTTTTGCACGTAAAGTCGTCATCGGGGGATGTCTAGCGTGTGATGTTGTTGTTGGTGTTGTTGTTGTTATTGTTGTACCGCGCCGCGTTTTCGTGACGTAAACTTTCAATCGGATAAAATCGACAAGTCCGAAGCTTTGAAAACAAAAATACTGTTAAAACGAGCGACAAACAATGGCCCTTACGGGGGGGGGAGGGAGGAAAGTGTTATTTTTCCGCGAAAACGAACGAATACCGTGTATCATCTTGATCGTCCACACGTCTCCGGGTATATTTAAAGAGTGAGAGAGAAGCGCGCGAGATTGGGTGGCGGCGGAGAGGGTAGAGAGAGTTATTGGTTTTTCGCGCGGAAACCGCTTAGAAAACGAACCGTACAACAATATTAGATATATGTGCATGGCACTACCGAGGCGGGAAAAACAAAAACCCGTCGAAAGGGGAAAAAAACAACGGTGTAATATAATTCCGCGCAAAAGTCTATGACCAGAGACCGTAAATATAATAATATTATATATGACGACGTAACGTACGGGCACGTTCATATTATATACATGATATATAGTGATAATTTTGCCGCGCAATTTTTCACGGTCGACAGACCACACGGCGGCGGCGGTAGAAGCACCGACGGACTCGTAGTCGCGTATTTTTAGAACGCGTTTTCTTTTTCGTATACATAAAATAACGACGACGACGACGACGACGACGATGGTAATTACGAGATTGCGTGCGAGCGGAAAGAAAGGATGGCGGAGACGCGTGGGGACACCGAGTACATAATAATATATATATATTATATTATACGTAAGTACACCACACACGCACATACGCCGCTTGTTCGCGTATATAATAATAATAATAATAATACGCCGCAGCCAGCGCGTGTGTGTGTTATACGATCTCTCGTCGAGCCGATTATATTATTATTATTATTTCGTACTCGCACCACGTCGCCGTCACCGCTGCTAATCCGTTCGGCGTAATAAATTATTAAATCGTCGTCGCCGTCGCGGACGAAGACGACGACGATACAACAATAACAATTTATAATAATAATAATAATACGTCTTCTCCTCTCACGTGCATATCAATACGACTGCGCCGCCGAGACACGGTCGAACAGATGGTTATATTATAGACGTTCGCGCTCGTATGTGTCGTCGTCGTCCGCGTGCGGCGTACGAAAATAAAAAATAATAACAAATTTCTACATACAATATACATATTTCTATTTTTATTATTATTATTATTATTATAAATAGTAGTAGTAGTAGTAGTAGTAGTAGTAGTAGTAGTAATTTTAGTAATAGTATACGTTTACGACTGTCTTCCGGTGCTAGAGAAATAATCGTAATCATAATAATAATAATATTATGAGCAAATCCAAACAAAGTAAAGTAATAACATTGATTATAAATACTAGTATTTATAATCAATAGTAATAATAACAATAATAATAATAATAATAATGGAAATAATAGTAATAAAAATAATATCGATGATAATAATAATAATAATAATGAGAATAATAAGAAGAATAATTACAATAATAATAATAAAAGTGTATTCGTTCGATATGATGAAACGGCGTGCAGAGAGATCTGTCTATAGTTGGCGCGCTTTTTCAAAAACGACCGTCTCTGCCGCCGTCGGGTGATAACCCGCCAACACGGGCAATAATTATAATTATTTCTATATCTATTTCAATACGAGAATAATCTAAACTATTAGAATAAATATTATGAATTGTTATATAAAACTAATTTACTAATAATAATAATATGAATATTAGTATACTGATAGAATAAAATTAGACATACCTGATGTGTATTCGCAGAAGACCCTGGATTGTTCAAACGTCTGTTGAATCTTCTACCATGTCAGAATGAGCCAGAAGATTGTCAAAAATTGAGTTCCGTAAAAAAGAAACGAGTTCACACAAGAAAAGTAAAAATAAAATTGTTCAAAATACAAAAAATAAATAAATGTCAAAACGTATGTATAATAACGACACGGCACAAGTGCACAAATACGCACAAAAAAATCGGCGGGAGAATAAAAATTTCGAAAAAAGTTTATAAATTTTTATTCTGTGGCGCAGACAATAATAATAAAAAATTAAAATAAATCGTGTCGACGGACAAAACGAAACGATGATAAAATAAAGCGAGCGACAACGGCGTGAGAAGTGTTGTACGGAGCGCGTGAGTTCGTGGTGTGAGGTACGACGATGACGACGGGAACGTTCGACCGGCG